GCAGCAGCAGCAGCAGCAGCGACGACAGCGATAGCGACGACGACGCACCCGCTCCAGTGATCGCACCGAAGCCTGACACGAAGAAAGCGACCAAGAGCAAGTCAACATCAGCGAAAGCAGCGTCGGATTCCGAGGATAGCGACGATGACGATGCCGACGATGGCAGGCGCAAGCGAAAGCGCAAACGCAGCTCCAAAAAGAAGTCCGCCCCTGCAACTTCCGAGCCTGCTGCCGCCGTGACTGCCACTTCCACTCCAGCAGCGGCCCCTGTTTCGGGCGGGCAGACGTTCACGCTAACCGCGGAGGAAGTGGGGCCGGATCCCACATCGGACCTGCGCCTGAGCGAGCAGGCCAAGCAGGCGATCCAGTACGCGCAGGTCTACACCGTCGACAAGCCGCACTGGAAGTTCAACAAGGCCAAGCAGAATTGGCTGCTGCGCAATGCGCTCTCGGTGCCTCCGTCCGACTACGACGCTGCGCTGGCTCGCAAGCCCGCCGCCGCCCAGGATGGCGAGGAGGCAGAGCAGGACGACGACGGAGAAAACTTTGTCCCCGAAGACTTTGTCGGCGTCGTCACGGCGTACCTCAGCAGCGTGGTCGGTGGTGCCCGCCAGAGACTCGTCGAGTCGCTGCGAGAGGCGGTCAATGCACCCGTCGTTGTAGTCCCGCAGACCGAGGCCGAAACTGCACCGCAGGCCGCAGAGCCAAACGAGCAGGCAGATGGCAAGAAGTCCGTCTCGTTCGGCAACATCGCACTCGACTCGGAGAAGAAGGACGAGGCCGTTCAGGCAGCAGGGTTGCCGGTGGGGACGGATCCGGAATCGGTAGAGCTGCGTAGGCAACGTGCCACTCTCATGCTGAAACGTCTCGGCGAGACTGTCTAGACACACACCACCAGTCACATTGGAATGACATATATGATCGCATTGCAACGAGCTCTACATCGGCACGGGATGGCAGAAGGCTACTGGATGATGTTTCGATCCGCCAGCCTCTTGCAGATGTCGGTCGAGCCCGGCGGGATGTAAGAATCGATTTGACAGACACTACACCGCGACTCAAGTCTACATCAGTCAACGTCCGTGCGGCTCATGGGGCTCAGTGTGCTTACCCTGTGTAGGTGCTGTACTCGGGGTGAGCGGCATTGTATCGCGAGTAGGGCACAAGGCAGCAGTGCGTCCAACCCTCGTTGTGAGGACAGCCATAAGGTGCCTGCAGTCCGTCCTCGGTGAACCTGAACGTGCATCGCGGAGCCGAGGCCACTACGCACATAGCCCAACTGGCGGCCAGTACAGCTTGAAAGATCGAAAAGTTCATGGCGGGTTTGATCGGTGAAAGATGTGTGGTGAGTCGGAAAAAGCCGAGATGCAAGTCGACGTTGCGCCTGCCCACATGTTCGACCAGCTCGTTCTGTTCCTCGCTCATCCATGCAGTCAGCGCGATGAATGTGTCGAGGTGCTTGTTGCGCACCGGGGAGGTCTGTCGTTGGATCATATCCGGGTGGAAAGAGCTCAGCAGAGTCTTTTTCGTCTCCACATGCAGGCGCTCCAACCGCTGAAGAACCCTGCTCGCTGCATCGAAAAGTCGTGTCACCCTCTCTACTCAACCAAGTCGGTGATCGGGGAAGATGGCGACTTACCTGGTTTCTCCAAGCCATTTTGCAGAAGATCTCGAAAGGGTCGGTGGATGCTGTCGGGATAGACAAAAAGCACCGTATGCTCCTTGGACTTAGGGTAGAGATCGAGGTGCAGAGGAAACGCCTCGCGATACTCGCGACGAAACGCCTCGAGCTGTGGCTTGAACTGGCGCTCTTGTTGACGCGACGCCTCAGCTGTCGGATCCTCGTATGCAGACCCGCTGCGAGGAAGCGTCAGCAGTAGCAACACGGCAACGCGAAGGATGACTGCAAACATCGTCGTCTTCATGCTGGGTTGTTCAGTCGTGTGGTTTCAGGGTTGCGGTATCCCATTCAGCGGCTGCTTTTATGGACGACACAAGCAGGTTCCTGCCCAAGGATTTTCGAAATGAACATCGCAGCCGCACTGAAGCTTCAAAGGTCGAAGCGATGTCGAGCGAAGCGCCCTCAATCAATCATGCCCGGTCGGATGCCGTGCAGCAATGAGGTTGAGTCAGACCACCTCGAGGCTCGCAAATGAAGCAATTAAGACTGCACAAACCTGCACAACGACATGTTGGCAGCGACACAAGAGACCATAGGCCACGACGATGTAGAAGACAGAGGTGACTACGGCCGCTCTAGAGAAGATCTCTATGAGCGGCCTGGCGCCTCAAAACGCTTCTCTACACTTCAGCCATCATTGCCAACGTGGATGCGGATCCACTTGGAGCAAAAGTCGCCGAGGGCATGACCGGAACCTTTGGTGTCAATATCGATATTTTCACCGTTGATCCCATCATTGATCCAGAGCCTGTTCCCGTCGAGAACCGTAATCCCGATCCTGGAGCAGGCTCTAGAAGTATCCACGGGCTCGTAGGAGAGGAGAGCGTTGCCGTAACCCTTCCAAATGATCGCTCGATATTCCGCAGCGCTTCTCGTACTCTGCGTTGTTAATAGTCAAGAGAGTAGCGGGATAGTTGTCAGCGGAGGCCAGACCCGCAAGCAGGCCGAGGCCCAGAAGAAGCTGCTTGAGGAACATTGTTGGGAATGGCAGGAGATGTGGTGAGGGGATACTGTCGAAGGGACTCCCGAGTCGATCTTACATACGGCATGGAAAGGGTCTCCGCTTCACGCACCAGCTGGAAAACTGCGCACAGCGGGGACCAGCCCACGAGCTGCCCAGTTGGATCCACCGGCCCTGATTGCATGTGGGTGTAAGGAAAGGGGAGAGTAGAGTCGAGTTGCATGTGGGTGCAAGGAAAGTGAAGAGGGGGGCGAGCCTTTGTGATCCCTGTTGTGCCCCACTGTTCCCGCTGTGGGCATCCACGACCGCATTAATCCCTATCGGCCATGTGGGCTTATCGCAAGAAGATTGAGGCTCACGACTTGCGCATGTCGTACGAAGCGCAAAGCTGGCCGGTACGACTCGAGTACCACAGATGCAGCAGCCCAGAGCCACGACGTACACCATGTTCGCTTTCGAACAATGCGCCAGTCCACTTTCGCAATTCATGGCCATGCTTCACCATTTGCCCGACCGGTCTCGTTGTTGAATGAAGATTGCACTATCTCCTCCAGCCCACGATCAAGTCTTGCTCGGTCCAAGTCAAGGATGCTTTCCCAAGACACCGGAGCCATCAACACGCCAAAAACCTGTCGCTGAAATTTCTCGCAGCCTGATGGTGGCTAACGCAGACGCCACCGGTTGAGGCTTCACAATGCAATATCGCACTCAGTAACAGCGAAGGAATTGGCCATGAGACAAACGCCCTCTTCTTGATGATCCAGGGCATGTGCGCGTCTGCTTCAAAGAATGCGTAATTGATGGTGCAACTGTCATACGATTGTGGAAGGGTGCATCTACGAGCTTGTGCTGGTGCAAATGATGGTCATGAATTTACGAAAGTGGTCTGGTGCTATCTTCAAACGCAATTGCAAAAGAGGATCTTGACAACGGCAAACGAGATCAGAAGCTACAGCTACGATGCTGCGGCTACTGGAAGGAAGATTGCTGTAAGCGGTCAGGCAACTCGGACTAGTCCACCTTACTTGTCATTGCCGACGTGGATGCGGAGCCACTTGGAGCAGAAGTCGTGATCGCCAAGGAAAGAGGTGTTGGAGTCAAGATCGATGCCTTCACCGTCCAGACCGTCGTTGACCCAGATCCTAGAAGTGCCTTGCTTGGGAGCCTGGATCTGGATCCTGTAGCAAGCCTTGGACGTATCGATGGGGCTGTAGATCATGCCGACGTCGAAAGCCCTCCAGTCGATCGAAAAGAGCTTGTTGGGATCGTCGATGGTAAAATCTGTCGCAGAAGGTGCGAAGATCAGAACGGTCAGCACGTTGCACAGGCTGTTTGCATAGGATGGGAGGGCCACACGCTTACCGCGCATTTGGTCGTCCTTGAGCAGAAAGTTGGTGGCGGGGAACATTCTTCCAATCGTCCAAATCTCGGCATGGACATCCTTGAGGTCGCCGCCGACAAAAGTGAAGCAGGGATAGTTCGGGTCACTGCCTGCTCCACATCGCTTCTCGTACTCGGCGTTGTTGATAGTCAGAGCGGTAGGAGGTTGGTCCTCGGCGGCAGCAGCCAGACCGGCACACGTGCCGAGGCCGAGGCCAAAAAGAGTCGTCTTGAAGATCATGCTCGAGGATAACCAGTGGAAGGGGAGGAGATATGGTTGGGAGAGACTGACCAAGAGCATCCCGAGTCGTCGTTATGTACGAAAGGACGTCCGCTTCAAGCGCCAACTGAGAAGCAGTGCGCAGCGGGTAACCGGCCCACCAGGTGCCCCCTCGAATCCACCTGCCGCGACTGCAGGTATACAGATGAAAGGGAAAGAAAGAGGGCAACCGAGCCTTCGTGATCTGTATTGTGCCCCACCGGTCCCTCTGTGGAGGTTCCTCTCACCCACCTTTGTCCGCCGGACCCACGCCTTTCGGCCACATGGGCCTACCTCAAGCAGCCTGATGCACACGACCTGCGCATGTCCTGCGAAGCACAAAGCCGAGCCGGTCTGGCTCGAGTCCCACAAATGAAGCAGCCCAGAAGCAACGACGTGCAGCATAATCACATTGAAAACGGCACAAGAGATCAGAGTCTACGATGCTGCGACTACACGTGAGAAGAATGCTGTGAGCGGCCAGGCAGCTCGAACCGTTTCGCCCACGTCACTTGTCATTGCCAACGTGGATACGGAGCCACTTGGAGCAGAAGTCGTGGAAACCAACGCGGCCAGCCCTGGAGTCAAGATCGATGCCTTCACCGTTCAAGCCGTCGTTGACCCAGATCCTGCCGTTGCCGGGGGAGTTAATCTGGATCCTGTAGCACGCCTTGGACGTA